TTTCCCCTGTTTCTTGGGACCTTCTGGGTGGGTTTTTTTGGGGGGGGCGGGGGCGTGGCCAAGCCTTGTTTTGGGGGGGGCTGAACACCCCCTCCCCCTTTTTGTGTATCCCTGGGGGGGGAATTTGGGGCCCCCCCCCCTCTTGTTTTTTGGCTTCAATAAAGTTCCATTGGGTTCAGTCGTGTTTGGGAACCCCCCGAGACCCCCAAACCCCCCAGGACCCCCAAATTCTCCTCCAGGACCCCCCCAAACCCCTCCTGGGTCTCCCAAACACCCCCCAAGATCCTTCTGGGACCCCCAAAGTCCCCCTGAGACCCCCGAGGTTTCACCATCTTTATTGGCACCGTGCACGGGGGGGGGTAAAGGGGGGGGCACCGTGGGGCAGGACCCTTTGTTATGGGGCTGGGACCCTCCCCAAGGAGCAGAGACCCCTGTTAGGGGTGAGAGGAACCCTCTGTTATGGGGCCAGGACCCCCAGTTATGGGGAAGGGCCTCCCCCCATGGAGTAAAAGACCCTCCTGTTATGGGGCAGGACCCCCCGTTATGGGTCAAGGGGACCCCCCCCTATGGCACAAGACCCCCTGTTATGGGGCTGAGACCCCCCCCCCCACAGCAGAGACCCCCAGTTGTGGGTCAGGGGGACCCTCTGCTATGGAGCAGGACCCCCCCCCTGAGCAGAGACCCCCATTATGGGGCAGGACCCCCCCACTGTGGGGCAGGAGCCCTGTTATGGGGCTGGGGGACCCCCATTATGGGGCAGGGACTCCCCCACAGAGCAGAGACCCCAATTATGGGTCGGGGGACTCTGCTATGGGGCAGGGGGACTCCCTGCTATGAGTCAGGGGGGCCCCATTATGGGGCAGGACCCCCCCAAAAAGCAGAGACCCCCGTTATGGGGTAGGGGACTCTGCTATGGGGCAGGGGGACCCCCATTATGGGGCAGGACCCCCTCACGGAGCAGAGACCCCCATTATGGGGCAGGGGAACTCTGCTATGGGGCTGGACCCCTGTTGTGGGTCGGGGGACCCCCATTGTGGGGCAGGACCCCCGGTTGTGGGTCAGGGGTCCCCCCGTCTCGAGGGGGGGTGCAGGGTCCGGGCGTGGCCCCGAAGGGCCTCAAATTCCCTTTGGACAAAATCCGTGAGAGCCTTTCGGAGCTCCACCTGTGGGGAGGGGAGAGACCCCCGGGAATGAGGGGAGAGACCCCCGGGATTGAGGGGAGAGATCCCCAGGAATGGGGGAGAGATCCCTGGGATTGAGGGGAGAGACCCCCGGGATTGGGGATGGAATGGGGGGAGAGACCTCTGGGAATGGGGGGAGAGACCCCCGGGATTGAGGAGAGAGACCCTCAGGATTGGGGTGGGAATGGGGGGAGAGAAACCCCTGGGATGTGGAGCTGGAATGGGGGGAGAGACCTCCGGGATTGGGGATGGAATGGGGGGTGAGAGACCCCCCAGGAATGGGGTGGGAATGGGGGGAGAGACCCCCAGGAACGGGGGGAGAGACCCCCAGGAATGGGGCGGGAATGGGGGG